GTGGGAGCAGGAGAAATATCCATTGGCCCACCTAAAGTAAGGAACTAACATCAAATGCAGTACACAGAGTCTGAGTCTCAAGACATAGAAAAAAATCTACCCTCTGGTTCTGAGTGACAAGGGAGCTAGCCATCACAGGAGTTCATGGAGTTCATTGGGGAATAATAGAGGGTTACTCATAAGAAATTGGAGGATCTAAATTTATACTATCCTGCTTGTGAAAACTCTTTAGAACCATTTAAATTCCTTGAGACTTCAAAGTGAGCAAAAGTGAAACTACTCAGAATGATGTTTCCTCAGCTAGGACACACAGGACTCTCCATTAATGATGGGCTTACCATAAAAAGAATTGCAAACTATATCATGAAGGATAAGTCAGGAGATACTATATACAGAAGAATGAAAAATGTTACGACAATCTTAATATTTCCAATAATTGAAGATACTAGATTAATCTCAAAGGCATTATTAATAAGTCCATTTAAAATAAAGACATGAAGGAAAAAATAGGTACCACAATATAAAATAGAACAATATGATAGAAAATAGGAATAATTGCAAAATAACTAAGTAGAAATTGTGTGTTCATTTAAGTTATCAACTCAGTGGACAAGGTAAATAGTACATGTAGACATAGCTAAAAAGGAGAATTAAGTGATTGGGAGGTAGATCTGATGAAATCATTTAGCATGCAGCACAGCGTAATTAAGAGATAGAAAATAAAATGAATGGTTAACAGAGACATGGATGTTAGAATAAAAATGTCCTCACCAAAGTCCCAAAGGAGAAAATCAGAAGACTATTTTATTAATAGGAAAACCTCTAACAAAGTTGATCAAAGAAAAGAAAAACAAAATAAATATCACAAACAAATAAGGGAGAATAGAACTACAGATACAGACAGGATTTAAAAACTAAGTAAATGCTACAAACAGTTTTATATCAGTATATTTGAATACTCCAATAAACAATTTTCTAGGAAATATATATTACCAAAATATACTCAAGAAAATAAAATAGACCTATAGTCTTTAAATCAATCAGTAGTAAAACCATGGCCACAATAAAAGCATCATACTACAGACAACTTTAGATCTAAGCTTTATCATACTTATAAATACAGGCAACTCAGAATGGAAAAGCTCAGTTCCTCATGGGATGCTAAGTCTAATCTTACCAGCATCCCTGAGTGCAATATGAGACAATCATAGCCCTATCTTGTTTTTAACACAAATGCAATTATTCTATATAAATCATTAAACTGAATCAGAGCATTTATTTAATTATTAAAAGTAGATACATATCATAAGTTCCCTCCAAAGTAATCATCAGTAAAATTCTAACCATAGTCCCAAAAGACTTTTTCATGGTCTTAAATTATATATAAAAAGTAAAAGGCTAAGATTATCCAAGAAGAAGGAGGATAGATTTATCAGATATCAAAGCTTAATATGTGGAAATATAAAATGGTATAACCACTTTGGGAAATCTCTTGACAGTTACTTAAAAAATTAAAAATACTCCTCCATGACCAGCGGTTTCACTCCTATTTACCCAAGAGGTAAAAAGCAGGTCCACAAAAGATCTGTACAAGAATGTTCTTTGTAGGTTTATCCTTAATAGCCCTATACTGGAAACAGCCTAAACATCCATGAACAGAAAAATGTACCTCCAGATTGCTACCTCTTGGTCACAAAGTAGATGCTATATCTCCAGGCCTCACATCCACGTGCCAGGCAGGAAGATGTGGGAAGCAAAGGGATTTTTCCTAATGAGGCTTTCCTTTTTTTTGTGGGAGGGGATACTTCCCCAGGCTCTGTTTATCTCATTGACCAAATCTATGTTACATGACCCCAACCAGCAGCATATTTTAGTTGGATACACTAAACAAAGTTGGAGTTGTGTTTGTAAGGAAGGAGGAGTAAAGGTGGAGGGCAAGAAAGTGTCAGCTATATCTGTAATACTTTATTTTCTGAAATAAATGGACCTTAGATACATGGCAAAGTATTCACAGATTTGTTCAACCTAGGTGGTAGGTATATTTTATTTTATTCTGTATGTTTGAAATGTCTCATTTTAAAAAGAAAAATAGCACAGAGTAATGGAACATAATACTCAGAATGTGAGTAGCAGTGATTTGATGCCAATCTGGTCATTAAGAACCTGGGTAACAGAAGAGAGTGCATGTGCCCTAAGTGCATGAATAACATTAAGTTTGAAAGGATAGAAAGAAAACAGTAGAAGGTGAGACTTCACTACTGGGAAGATAGGCTGGGCGAGATGACCTCAGAAGATGGACGTAGTCAGAAATCATGACTGTGAAACTCAGAAAGGGGTGAAGACCACTTCTTTAAGCCAAATGCTACTGTGTCTGGCTTTCACTAATCAGTGTCTTACTAAATGCATTAATGGGAAATATCAAGTATGAGCTTTTTTTTTTTTTTTTTTAATATATCTTTATTGATTTCAGGGAGAGGGAGAGAGAGAGAGAAACATCAATGATGAGAGAGTCATCATTGATCTGCTTCCTCCTGCCTCCCCTGACGGGATGGAGCCCGCAACCCAGGCATGTGCCCTGATCAGGAATCAAACCGAGATCTCCTGGATCCTAGGTCAATGCTCAACCACTGCGCCACGCCTGGCCGGGCTCAAGTATGAGCTTTTGAGTATAGTCATTGTCAACAACAGCATATTTTTCATGAGTCACTGATGTAGTTGCTAATGGAAATGCAGTCAACATGATGCTTTGTCATAAGTCTGATACTGAAAACAATACCTATATAATACTATATTATTCTTGTACAGTGTTTCACCACCTCGGATTGCCTTCAGATTATTACAGCTGTTATAGAATAAATGATTCTTTCCTACAGGTGATTGTCTCTTTTTTTATATATACCAGCTTGGCACCATATAAATGAAGTTAAAAGGTTTTCATGTTTTTCTGATTTGAAGCCTTGGGTTTTAATCAAATGAAGTAGAAAGTAACATACATACTAAGCTGTATTTGTGTATTTTTTTTCTCCTGGCTATGTGCCTCTAAATAATGTTTTTTTCTAGAAAATATGTTATGTGGGCAGACAGACAGATTGTACCTATTTAGAAAATTGTAATCCTGGTGAAGAAATGGTTCCTTCTTAGTTTGCATTTTTTGCTGTTTTTAAAGTTTGCAGACACTGTGGCTTCTGCCTAGACTGCCAGGTCTGCCCTTCTATATTATTCATGCAATAAACCTAAAACACCCACTGCGGGTCAGAGCTAGCTCTTTTTGAAAGATTTTACCAAAGATACTGTGATCGACACTATTTTTCCTAAATTTTTATTTTGGTATTGGAGGCTGAGTAGTTTAAGTTTACTGACATGAGTATTTCTTAGATATCTTTCGTACTGTATTTGTTATTTTTTCCCCCTTCCTGTATGCTTTAATGATGTCAAAGTTTTAATGTGTGTTTTTTAAGTGAATCAGAAAAATTCAATTTCTAGTAGCAGTTTAAAGAATACAACTTCATACACAGTGCCTCAGTTAATGTTGAAATAGCACTACTATTATTTCCTGCTCACTGATACTAGAAAGGGTAGTATAAAACTTTAATCTGGACATTAGGTTTATCTTTTTGAATATTAGCCTTCATATAATTAGGAGAAAAGCCCTCTGGCTGCATTCACCCAAAGGCAGTGCTTGATGGGATTTGAGAGGAGCATCTGTTATTGCAGACAACTGGGGATTGAAGACCGAATTGGTCACTCCCTACTTCCCTTTCCTGGTGGCCTGAAAACATAAGAAAGCAAAATACTGTGGCGCAGAGCTGGACCTCAGTGAGGCGGCAATGCCATCATTATGTGGGTTTCCACGACAGCTACATGGCACATGCACAGAAGCACATTGGGACGCCACAGGCACTGCACCGAACCTTCTCAGGCCTTGAGTATCTCCCACTTTGAAAAGCAGTGAGTTTTGGTAAACATACCGTCTGGTTTAAACACGCTTCATACAGCCTCTCTCAATTTCTAATAAGATACCTAAGAAAACCCAGAAAAGGGTGGAAACTCACACTGGGGCCAGCAGAATGGGTTTGAAAGGTAAGGTGGGTTGCCTCTTACCTGCCTAAAAGCAAGTGGGCAGTTTTGTCTTCCCAGCTCTGAAACAAAGTTGGTATCAATGAAAACGGGCATTTGACCTCTGCTGCCTGCATCCTGACTTCGGAAGCTGCTGAAGTGTTAGCTCTGCAATTCTCCAGGCAGAGAGAGGGGAAATAAGTAAGCCTATGAATAACAGGAAGAATGCATAAAGAAACAAAAATACAGTACTGAGGTGAAGAGTAAGAAAATGAATCTTGCAACAGAATATTTAATATCTGCAGTCATTTGTCAGTTGCCAGCCCTTTCAGAATCACCAAATTTGAGGATTAATGTAGTTAATTACACTTGCACACCACATTAATTGCTAAATGGTTTGGTTCCTATTTGAAAGGAACATAAGACGGTTTGCACCCTGGAGGGGGTTTAGGACAGAGATCACATCTCTTTAATTTATTGCTCCATTTCTTCTGCCTTATATATAATAGACAGTACAGTAAAATATTTGTGTAGGAAATAGATGGATTTATGAAATAAATGATTTTGGAATAGCAGGTTTTCCATCCTGGTCAGGTAAGGGCCAAACTCTGCCAGAGAGAGTCTGTATTAGGAAGACCTATAAGACAGCAGTAGGGGTAGTTAATAGAAGGCCTTCTGTGCCAGCCTTTGGCTTGGTATTTGATTTTACAAGCACTACATGAACCACTGTATGTTCATAAGAAAAATTGCAGAGTCATGACTGGATGGAGGCTGGAAAGGTGGGCCTGGCAGTGGTTTGGAGGGAAGAAGGTACTGAGAGTAGGGAGCCGGAGAGTGCCTCTGTGGAATATGTTAAAGAAACTAATTTTCCTGAGTCCCCAGTTAGAGAGTCCCCCTCTCCAATACTTGAGTCTTTTTAAGATGGCTTTTATTGTGTTCATTAGATTCTGCTTCGTGAAGGCTGCAAGAAGATTCTCGTAGCTGACTCTTTGTCTTTACTGAAGAAAATGCATCGAACTCAAATGAAAGGCATTCTGGTTGATGGTGAGTAAAAGTGAAATAATCATATTGGAACTATATACTTTACTTTCAGAAGAGACAGAGCAAGTAGAAACAACATTGTGTAATCTCAAGTGTATGTGTTTCCTTGCAGAGGAGAACATCTGTGAATCGTGCCTTTCCCCTATTCTTCCATCAGGTAAGATGGTTTGGAGGGGAAAAGAAATCCCCAAATATGTGTTGATGAGTGGAATTTTTATAAAATTATATAACTTTCAGGATAATCCGGTTTAGAGAAGAATTTCAGCCCACAACTATTCTTAGTTGCATGCTGTGCAGTTCTTTAGAGCTGAGGATCTCAAACTGTGGAGTAAGTCAGCATCACTTGGCAGGCTTGTTAAAACCCGGAATGCTGGTCTTACCCACTGAGGTTCTGAGTCAGTAATCCCAGGATAGGTCCTGAGAATTTGCATTTCTAACAAGTTCCCAGGTGATGGTGATGCTACTGGTTCACGGGCCATACTTTGAAAAGCAGTGATCTAGAATAAAACAAAATAAAATGAAATTCACCATTAACATGTTTAAATTCCAAGGTTGAAGAACCATGTGTGTATGTGGGAAATTTTTTTATAGGAAGCTTTCACTTTTCTTTCTTTATTTTTTTCTTCTATATGGTTTTGGCACCCAAATTATCTCACATTTCAATGGAAACATAATACCCCCCCCCAATCTAGTTGGAATAGTAACTACTTAAGAGACATTATTTGCTTATTTATAGTTTTTGGTTTATTTATCTTCATGTATAATCAGAGCACCTTACATAGGATCATATGACACTAGAAGAAGAAAGTCCATAATTTAAAAGTAGACATTAAAGAACATTTGTCAGATGCTAAAAAATCCTTTTTTTGTTTTTTAATATAAATTAAGCTTAGAGGAGTCCTGAATGGCCTAGTTGATGTACCATTTACTTAGCTTTAAGGGATTATTTAATAATGGCAGGAGCATGAGAACTTTTTTCACTTAGGGTCTTTTCTAGAGAAAATAAATAGGTTTGGATTTTAACTGCTTATGTTACAAACCACAGTGGCACAGGGAAAAAGGTGAGCTTTCATAGTGTTTTAGGCAGTGTATTAACAGAAAGAGACTGCATACACCTGCACTGTATAATTAGATTAAATTCCTGCAGAAGTGCGGTACAATATAAGGTCACAGCCTAGGGTTTAACACAGCTCTGCCCTGAACTCAGTGGATGGTCTTGACAAAGGCAGTAGTGAACTGACAACGCATTTTTCTAAATCCATAAAACTCACCTCAATATGTGGTGTTCAACATTTCTATGTAGGAGGGGGGTTCACGAGCAGGAAACACACATACACATACTGATTCTAAGTTTTTAACTAAATGTTAAGTTTGCTATGAAATTGTCCCCAGTTTGTTGTTGTAGTAAATGATGTAAAAGCCAAGCAAGTAACCTGTGACTCACATGGCAACACTACCATAATATCTGCTTTTCATTTGATAACCATCCCAACTCAGAAATAAGCAGTCCTCCTAAGGCAGTTCGTTTAACTACAGCTGGACTTCTGTTAAGACTGGTTTGGGTAGTGAACACACAATACAGTATACAAATGATGTATTACAGAATTTTATACTTGAAACCTATATAATTTTATTAACCAATGTCACCCCAGGAAATTCAATAAAAAATTTAAAAGGAAGTATGCTAACAGGAAAAACGAAGAAGAAAGGACTAGTTTAAAACATAGGTCAAAGGTGACAGCAATGTCGGAGAATGCTGAACTTACCTTGTCCCATGAGTAAACGAAATATACACACACATTTAGAGATAACTTACTCCTGAGAGACAAGAGTGCTATATGAACAGCTTCTGATCAACAAACTAGAAAAAGAGACCAAATAGAGAAGGCTGAGAAACCACAGGAGCTCTCCAGGAGCACAGAAACTGTCTGGGCCAGAGGTACCAGTGATCACTATTGTCAACATCCTCCTCCACTTCCATAGAACGGGTAGGAACTATATTCAGGTGCTCTCGCCCACCTGCAGTGTCACCGAAGCACGTTCCATGTCACATAACTTGAGCTTTTTCAGCTCCAGACAAAGGACCTGCACCTGGCCTCCCCACACAGAACTGCTCCAATGCCTCAGATGCCATAGACACTCAGCAGCTCTAACTGGCCTGCCAAGGCCACCGAGTGGACACAGCCTACAGAGAGGCCACTTCTACACAAGGCCACTTTTTTAAGACTGGAAGAGATGGCTAATTTGTCCTAATTTATATAAACATAGGAAGTCAAACTAAATTAAAAAAACAAAAGAATATCCCTAAATGGTAGAATAAGAAAAATCCCCATAAGAAAACCCTAAGGATATGGAGACAAGTAATTTGCCTGATAAATAATTCAAAGAAACAGTTTTAAGGATGTTCACCAAACTTGAGAGTAGAATAGAGGAATTTAGAATTTCAACAAAACCAAGTAGAGCTGAACAATACAATATTACTGAAATCAAAGCTTTGTCAGCAATAGATTCACTTATACAGAAGAATGGATCAGCAACCTGGAAGACTCTTGGATATCAATCATTCAGAACAGCAAACAGGAAAAAATAATTAAAAAAAAAAAAGATAGCTTAAGGGACACTTGGGATAGCAGCAAGCACACAAATATTTGCACTATAGGGGTTCCAGAAGGACAAGAAGGAGAGAAAGGAACAGAAACTTTATTTAAAGAAATAATTGTTGCCCTAGCTGGTTTGGCTCAGTGGTTAGAATGTCAGCCTGCAGACTAAAGGATCCCAGGTTTGATTCTGGCCAAGGGCACGTACCTCAGTTGCAGGCTTGATACCTGCTTGCAAGGGGCAACCAATCAGTGTGTCTCTCTCACATCAATATTTTTTTCTCTCAATCTCTCTCTTTCTCTCTCTCCCTTCTACTCTCTCTGAAAAGCAATGGAAAAAATATCCTCAAGTGAGAATTAAAAAAAAAGAAATAGTGGCTGAAAAGTTTGCTAACCTGCAAAAGGAAACAGACATCCGGGTCTAGGAAACACAGAGAGTTCCAAACAAGATAAACTCAAAGAGAACCAAACCAAGACATAGTGTAATTAGAATGACAAAAGTTAAATATAAAGAGACAATCTTGAAAAAAGCAAGAGGAAAGCAACTAATTACATACAGAGGAAACCCTAAAAGGCTATCAGCTGATTTCTCAGTAGCAATTTTATAGGTCAGAAGGAAGTGGCAGGACATCTTTGAAGTGCTGAAAGAAAGGAATCTACAGCCTAGAATAATTTACCAAGCAAGGTTATTCAGAATTGAAGGACAGATAAAAAGTTTCCCTGACAAACTACAGGAATTGATCACAATTAAGAATACATAATTTTTCAAGTGCACATGGAACATTCTCTAGGATAGATCACATATTAGGTCACAAGACAAACCTCAGTAAATTCGAGAAGATTGAAATCATATCAAGCATCTTTTCCAGCCACAATGGCATAAGTGTAGAAATCAACTATGGGAGGAAAACTGGAAAAACATACAAATACATGGAGACTAAACAGCATGCTACTAAACAACCAGTGAATCAAAGAAGAAATTAAATAGGTATTCAAAAACTACCTTGACACAAATGAAAATGAAAACACAACTTTTCAAAATTTATGGGATGCAATAAAAACACTTCTAAGATGAATGTTCATATCTATACAGGCCTATCTCAAGAAATAAGAAAAATTCCAAAAAATCTAACTCTACACCTATAGGAACTAGGGGGAAAAAACAAAACCCAAACTAAACAGTAAGAGGGAAATAATTAAGATCAGAATGAAAATAAATGAAATAGAAATTGAAAAAACAATAGAAAAGTTGAATGAAACTAAGAGTTGGTTTGTTGAAAAGATAAACAAAATTAACAACTTTAGCCAAACTCATCAGGAATAAAGGAGAGAGAGCCCAAATAAAATCATAAATGAAAGAGAAGTTAACAGCTGACACCACAGAAATACAAAGTCTATAAACAGTACTTCGGACAATTATATGCCAATAAATTTGACACATAATGGATAAATTTTTTCCAAGACTGAACCAGGAAGAAAGAGAAAATTTAAACAGACTGATTACTAGCAATAAATTGAAGAAGTAATTAAAAAAAACTCCCCCAACAAATAACAGCCCAGGACCAGATAGCTTCACAGGAGAATTCTACCACACATTTAAAGAAGAATTAATAACTATCCTTAGACTATTTTACAAATTAAAGTGAAAGAAACACTCCCAAACTCATCTCATGAAGCCACATTACCCAGATATCCAAAACCAGATAAAGACTTAGAAATAAAAGAAAATTATAGACCAAAACCCTTGATTAACATAGATGTAGAAATTCTTAACAAAATATTAGTAAACCAGACTGAATTATACATTAAGAGGATTTACACTATGACGAAGTAGGATTTATTCCAGTGTTGCCAGGAGGCTTCAGTCAACATAATATATCACATTAACAAAATGAAGGATAAAAATCATATGATCATCTCAATAGAGGCAGAAAATGCATTTGACAAAATTCAGCATCTTTTTTGTTATTAATCCTCATCCAAGAATATTTTTTCCATTGCTTTTTAGAGAGAGTGGAAGGGAGGGAGGAAGCAGAAGGAGAGAGAGAGAAACATTGAAGTGAGACACATTGGTTGCCACCTGCACATGCCCCCTTGGGGCCAGGGATTGAACCTGCAACTCCGGTACATGCCCTTGACCAGGAATTGAATCTGCAACCCTTCAGTGCATGGGCTGACACTCTAACCACTGGGCTACACCAGCCAGGGCTTCATCCTTTTATGATAAAACCTCTCAACAAAGTGAGTATGGGAAGAACATACCTCAGTATAATAAAGATTGTTTATCACAAATTCCCACAGCTAATATCATATTCAGTGGTGAAAAGCTCAAAGAAAGCCTTTCCTCTAAGATCAAGAACAAAACAAGGATGCCCACTATTACCATTTCTAGTTAATATAGTACTGGAAGTCCTAGCCATAGCAATGAAACAAGAAAATGAAGTGAAAGGTATCTAAATCAAAAAGGAAGTAGTAAAACTCTCATTTGCAGATGGCATGATACTTTACATAGAAAACCCAAAGACTCCACCAAGAAACTATTAGAATTAATGAATGGATTCAGTAAAACTTCAGTATGATACAAAAATAAATATACAGAATTTTTTTCTATTTCTGTAACCAATAATGAATGTTCAGAAGGAAAAATTAAGAAAACAATCCTATTTACAATTACACCAAAAAGCATAAAATACCTAGGAATAAATTTAACCAAAGACGTGAAAGACCTGTACTGAGAAAACTGTAAGATTTTAAAGAAAGAAATGGAAGAGGATACAAATAAATGGAAGGATATACTGTAGGGAAAGTGAAAACACTTAGGCTTCCTCGCCACCTTCTCCCGGCCAAGGCCCCAGTTATGTAAACGTGATATAGCATAGTCACAACAGACATCATGTTAGTTGACTAGTGTCTGACCCATCCTTGGCTGAGAGCTACTATTGTCCTGGTTCCTACAAGACTGGCCAGGGACTTTCAGAGGTGCAGTTTGTCCCCCAGGGGTGCGGTATGTCCCCCGTTTATGCCCGGCTTCCACCACTGGGAAGAGACAGTTTGTTTCTTGTGTATATCAGCCTGGCTGTCAGCTGAAATAAAGGAAATGTCTCATCCTCCTTCAGCTCCACGGTTTTTCTTTGGACTGTGCAGATCTAGAGTGAACCTCCCTGGCCATGACTGTTGGTTCTACAATTGGTATAGTCATCGCCATTACTATACCATACTCAAGGATTGGAAAGATTAAATTGTTAAAATGTTGTTACTACCTTAAGCCATATACAGATGCACTGCATTCATTATTAAAATAGCAATGGCATTCTTCTTAGAACTTGAACAACTAATCCTAAAATGTATGTGGGACCACAAAAGACTCCGAATAGCCAAAGAAGCCTTGAAAAAGAACAAAACGAAAGGCAACATGCTCCAAGATCTCAAACTATACTACAAAGCTACAATAATCAAAATAGTGTGGTACTGGCATAAAAACATATATAGATCAGTGGAATAAAATAGAGAGCCCAGAAATAAACTATTGCTTATATGGTTAATTAATCTGTGACAAAGGAAGCAAAAATATACAGTGGGGTAAAGAGAGTCTCTTAAGTAAGCGGTGTTGGGAAAAATGGACAGATACATGCAAAAAAAATCACATTGGACCACTTTCTAAATTGGGTCATATACAAAAATAAATTCCAAATTGATTAAAGACTTAAAATCCTGAAACCATAAAATTCCTAGAAGTAAACATAGGTAACAAACTCTCTGACACCACTCTTAGCAATATCTTTTGGGATGTTTCTCCTACAGCAAGGGCAACAAAAGAAAATATTAACAAATGGGACTACATCAAACTGGAAAGTTTTTTAAACAGCGAAGGAAACTGTCAACAAAATAAAAAGACAACCTACTGAATTGGAGAAGATATTCGCAAATGATACATCCAATAAGGGGTTAATATCTAAAATATATAAGGAACTCATACAGCTTAACACTAAGAAAACCAAACAATCTGATTAAAAAATAGGCAGAGGCCCTGGCCAGTGCAGCTTAGTTGGTTGAGCATCTTCCTATGCACCAAAAGGTCGCCAGTTTGATGCCATCAGGGCACATGCCCAGGTTGCGGGTTTGGTCCCCACTTGGGGTGCTTATAGGAGGCAATTGATCAATGTTTCTTTCTCACATTGCTGTTTCTCCTTCTCTCCCTCTACCTTCCTCTCTCTCTAAAACATAAAAAAAAAACCAAAAAAAAAAACCATTTTTTTCAAAAAATGGGCAGAGGACTTGAATAGACATTTCTGCCAAGAGGACATACAGATGGCCAACAGAAATATGAAAAGATACTGAACATCACCAACATCAGGGAAATGCAAATTAAAATTGCAATGAGATATCACCTCACATATGTAAGAATGGATATCATTAAATAATCAGCAAATAAGTGTTGGCGAGGATGTGGAGAAAAGGGAACCCTTGTGTACTGTTGGGATTAAAAGGTATTGCAGCCACTATGGAAAAAAGTATGGAGATTCCTCAAAAGCATTAAAAATACTGCCACCGAGCAACCCAACAATTCCACTTCTGGATATTGATCTGAAAAAAATAAAAAGATCTATTCAAAAAGACATATGCACCCCTATGTTCATTGCAGCATTATTTACAATAGCTGAGATACGGAAGCTATCTATGTGTCCATCAAATAGACAAATGGATAAAGAAGATGTGGTATATATAATGGAATATTACTCAGCCATTAAAAGGAATGAAATCCTGCCATTTGTGACAACATGGGTAGACACAGAGGGTATTATACTAAGCGAAGTCAGAAAGGTAAAGGAAAATACCATATGATTTCACTTATGTGTGGAATCTTAAAACACACAAACGAATGAACAAAACATCTATATATAGAGAGAAAAAACTGATGGTTGCCAAAGGGAAGGGGGAATGTAAGGTAGGGATAAAAGAAAAAGACTGGTTTTAAAGTTTCTGATCTGCTTGTTGCATTGAGTCCTTCTCCTTTCCTGCCCTCTACCCCCAGATGCAGCTAAGCCCTTCAGTGTGGTGGTCTTCCATTGCCGGCACATGTTCCACAAGGAGTGCCTGCCTGTGCCCAGCATGGTGAGTTGGCAGCTAGGCACCATCAGCTAAAGAGAAATTGATGCAGTCAGAGGGATGCGCTCAAAATTGTAGTCTGTCATTTTATGGCTCTGTAGGTTCTCAGAACTATAATATAGTTTTATATCACACAAGAAAAATTAATTCATTTAAATTCTCAGATGTAAAAATGTTTTAATATACTGTACTAAACATTATAAAATCATTCATTTAAGTGAATTTGTTCAGGTAAAATTGATGACTGTTAAGCTATAGAGCTGTCGAGGCGTGAGATACAGTGAGAACCATTTTATGTCTTCTACAACTTTCTCAACCTGATTTCTGTATCATGACACTGATATTTTTTAGTGTCGAGTCATGTCCCTCTTTCACATTACATGTGTTTTGCTGTGCTAGATGGAATCCTACGTGAACCAGCAATAATCTCTAGGAAAAGGAGTGACATTTTTTTAATCCTCATCCAAGGATATTTTTTTCATTGATTTTTAAAGAGAGTGGATGGGGGGAGGTATGGATGGGAAGAGAGAGACAGAGAGACAGAGACATCGATGGGAGAGAGACACATTGATTGGTTGCCTGCCTCCTGCACTCGCCCTGATTGGGGTTGGGGATTGAACCTGCAACTAAGGTACATGCCCTTGACTGGGAATCCAATCTGAGACTCTTCAGTGTGCAGGCTGACACTCTAACCACTAAGCCATACTGTCTAGGGCAGGAGTGACATTTCATAGAGCCCTGCCTGCCCCCGACTGATCTCCCATAATATTTCTGACTATGAAAGTAGAAAGGGAAGATCTTTGTTTTTTAATCTGTGTTTTTTAATTACATTTTAGACCTCTCCTGCGCAGTTCTGCAGCATCTGCAGTGCTAAGCACCGGGGACCAGGAAGTGCCATTTTGGAGATGAAAAAATAGCTTCATTCATTCTGTTTGTCAGCCTCTTCCTCACCACTCTTTTGAAGATGGTTTTTGCAACAACAGAAGCATTTGTTGATACCAGTGCTGTTAAGAGTTTTATACATGTTTGTGTTATGCTCAAAAAAACTTTCTTCATCTTGACCTGTTTACTAGTTTTCTCTTTGCAGTTCATAAAGATGTTAGGTTTTTTTTCCCCATCCATGCCTTGGAATATTGGGGCTCACAGTCAATATTTCATCATTTATTTGTTTGGCTCACTATTTAGGACTGGAAACATAAGTGTGGGAGTTAGAAATGAATTTTTAGATCCTAGTAAAATTGTTTATCCCCAGCGGTGTGAGCACACTGGCTGTCCAGTCTGTTCCTGCTGCATTGGACGTTGTTCTGTATACTCTGCAATTCTTGTGTTCTTGGTTTGGCTTTTTTTATGTCATCAGCTGTGGTTATTTTCTTAATAGGTGTTTAATGAAACATTGTGCAAACTGTCACTTACTCAGTGATGTCTGGGTGGCATGAGCAGGCTGACATCATGCAATTTCATGTTGACTAATCACATGTTCTGTGTGACCAGATGACTAGCAGAGTCTGGCCCTGGCAGGCACTCAACGTCTGTTGATTGAATAAATGTTAGCTCTGCCCATGTGAAAGACTCTATTTTATTTGGTTGGACAACTTCAGTCAAGAATCCTGGCACCCTCAGAAGAAATAGAAGAGACTTTCAGCACCTTAGAGTGTGATGGGCTGTGGTTAGGTTTGCTGGCAGGGAGGAAATGAGTGATACTGTAGAATCTGAAGGATTCTGAGGAGAAATGGGACCGTCTGATGTGGGAGAATTGTCTTAACCATATTTTTCTTCTCTGGAGCCTCCTCTGCCCTCATAGAACATAGAGACCATAGGAAAGAGGGGGAGAATTAAAATGTGTGATTGTGTTTTCTGGTTATTAGCTTCATCTGTCTTGGGATATATTGCCACCCTCTAATGGGTATAAAAATGTGAAAAACATACTGTCCTCACTCTCTTAGTCCCATGAACAGGAATACATGCAGCTTTCTGCTTCTGTCTTTGAGGGCAGGATGCTAATGAGTACTGAGCACTTACTGACCCCAAAATTGGTGCAGGCATTCCCCTGAGCAACATCTTAGTTAATTCTCGTGGCACCCCAAGAAGAATATATTCTATCCCTTTGGTTTACTGATGAAGAAACCAAAATGTAGAGATGTTATCACAGTGGCAGAGGTGACTGCCTAACTTCAGAACACGGGGTTCCACTTTATGAAATCATAGGGCCAAGTTCAGAGGAAATGCACAATACATCTCATTGCATTGGAGTTAAAAAGAATATTCTCTATTAGACAGTAGACTCTTTCTGATAGGCTTAAATATTTAGAACTGGAAAGTCCTTGGTAGTTACTGAATGTAACTAACCCTCAGTCCTCTCAGTATTTCCTTATTCAGAGACTAGTAGTCTTTCTGCTACAAAACTAGTTTTCATTTTTTGTTTTTGTTTTAACCAGAAAAAAACCCTTCACAAAAAAAACTCACAAATATGTCCAATTATAGTCAAAGGTAAAAAGCCAAGCTACTCCACTTGGAAAAGACATGTAAAGTGCATGTTTCTTATCCTCTCCTTAAAGAAAGCCATTCTCTGAGTGTGAAAGAGCCACGTTCAAAGTTGTTTTGTGATAGCAGTTTTATTTTTATTTTTTTTTTAGCCAAAAGGATTTTATACTAGTTTAAGTATGTTCATCCTTGAGGATTTTTGAGTTCTCAATAAATAAATTAATTGTTACAGTGTTAAAATCTATTTTTCAATATTATAAAAACAAACATTTATGATCAGTTACTAGGTTTCAGGAATGTTATAAGCATGTGTTATCTCATTTCTTCATCACACCAGCCCTGTGAGATGGGTATTATGATCTCACAGATGAGGGTCGGAGCACATGAAGCACTTTGTCTGAGGTCAGCTAACAGGCCAGTGGTCCAGCTCATTTCAACCCATGCAGTCAGCCTTCAGTCATGATTTTAACTATTGCATATTTGTTCCTTTTTTTAGAAAGTACTTATTTGATCTGTTTTGCTTCGTGTATAGAAAGCAAAATCCACTCTAGTAGCAGAAAGAGAGTTCTCATAAAGTATTGATGACTTACAGAATCATTGAGAGGACTGAAGACAATAGGGAGAGCTTCCAGGAACACCTCACAAAGCCCCCCAGAACTGGGCCAAGGGCACTGACGGCCCCCCCCCTCCACCAGAGGACACTGCACAAAGCGGTGTGAATTGTTATTTTTAAGTAAACTTGGAGTAAATAAAAGTATACACATTTCTCTATTTTAAAGTTCACTCTTAGTAACACTAAATAAGGAATATTATGTGTGTGGGAGACATTTCTATGTGCTAAATATCACCCTAGTTTATTCTGGGTTCTCTTACCAAGACTCGGGCTATTAAAACTCCACCGATTGATACTAAACAGGAACTTTCACTGAACACACACTTATTTCTGAACCCATTGCTGATTGTGACTTTATATAATTTGGAAAGAAGTGCCTTCCTCTTTTCTGATGCAGTGCATGCTCTGGGATGATTAGAATCACTGTGATGTTAGTAAAGATAAGACAGGAGAGCAGATGGAAAATCCAACCTCCAGAAGCAGCTAGAGTTAGTTAGGCAATCCCCAGTCCTTTCTTGACATTCACCCAGAATGTAGTCATGTCATTCTTCTCCTTCAAACCATCAGGAATGCCCTGCACATGAAAGCTTTTGGGTTTTGGCTTTACCCAGTCAACCCATTGCATTTCACGTGACAGTCTTGTTTTCATCATTCCCTGAGCTGTAGCCATAAGGGATTGACTAGGAGGGGGTCCCTTACCTCACTGCTGCTGTTCTTCATCCCACAGTACTCTGCTCAGAGTGGCACATCATTCACTCTGAACTCAGACTGGATAGTAGACCTCTCACTGTCCTCTTAGCACCCGGGGCTCCATCTGTCTGTCGCACTACACTGCAGTTGTCTGTGAAGCAAGTATAATTTCAGTCCACAAACTCGGGTTTCTAAAAGAATGTTTAAATCTCATATTCTACCTACCAGCCTAAATTTTATCTTAGTTCATGGTAAACCCAAATAAATCAGGCTTTCCTGGATTATTTCAGGGACTCCTATGTTACCTGTAAGTTTTGGGTGGTAGTGGTAGGGATGGTCCCATTGTGTCCAGTATCAATGAGAAGGAAGCATACGGTTGTCAGTTAACCTCTATCCATACTGGCATTGGTTGAAATGCCATCATCCCCACAGCCTTGTGTCAACTGCATCTGCCTCCTGGCATCTCTTAGATATCTGCAGTTGCAGCTAGTCTCTGGTCCTCACTCCTCACATTGCCTCTGCTGTTCCTGACCACCAAGCTTCTGCAGCCCACCATGTGTCTGCCTTGTGGCTCTGGTGCTCTGGGAAATTCAGACTTGCCAAATAAGTTGGTCTTTCTCTGTTGCTTCCTCACCAGTACTGGGGAAGTTTGGAGAAAAGGTGAGCATTTGGTTTGCAAGGCTTGCTACTTCTCAAAGGAAATGGAAAGTAGAGACCTTCTTTTAAAGCTCCAAACCTCTCTGTTAGGTCTATCTCTGCCTCATCCCTGCCCAAGAACTCAGTTCCAGAGTATAGAGCGAGGTGCCCCTTCCTCTCAGTGCTCTTCTCCCTGAGCCTTTCTCCTGCTCTACTCCAGTGCAGTCCAATACTTTCTTACTGGGGCAGTGGGGTGGGCTTTCCCATTATTATGTACTGTTTTGGGTGTCAACTTTGATTTCTGATGCTCAAAAGGCTGAGGTTCCTGCAAGCTTTGGACTCTTAAATTTTTAAGAACCTATTTTGGAACTTAAGATCAAAGATTGTTTTTCCTTCTCTGCTGTATCATTCCTGCCCTCATTGCTGTTCTATGAACAAGTTAACAATAGGAGAAAACCCAAGGGGGAATCAACCCACCTTGGTCACTACACCAAAATACTATTCTGCCAATTACGCTTACGTGTTGGCCTCATACTGTGGACTGTAAGCACAGTAAAGACAAAGAACATACCGTGTTCATCTTTCCCATGTAGAGTGACATAAAAGAGGCATTTGAAAATGTCAAATGAAGGAAAGTAAGCCCAGTCTTTTCTCCCCTGTTCAAGATAGGTAAGTCATAGACAGATACAGAGATACATACTTTATAGCATTCTGTGACATGAATGACATGACATGGAAATGTGGCCCTGTCATTCCTACCTCCTTGTATTCCTCCCTCTTGATCCTCACCACTACTAACACCAAAAAAGTATTGTTTGTCTACTTTCTTCTGTAATGGGGCACAGTTCTTAACTTCATCACATTGAAACCTTGTCTTTCCGTGTTCTGCCTCCGCCTCCCCATCCAGTCTGCCATCCTTTCTCACCATCACACTATCTTTTGCATTCTCATTGCCACTGTCTTGGACCCAGATTCTTCTTATTGAGCACCTGGATGGTTTTAACTAATTCCTTCCCAGTTTTCCTGCCTCCAGTATCCACACTTTGCTGATTTTATTATGCACCCTGCTTCTACATTAATCTTCCTTCCAGACTGATCCAATCAAGTTCCCAGGTATTTTGCTATTCGCAGTGCTTGAAATCTCTACTGACAAATTCTTCCCATAGCTTCTATTCCTGTCTTCTACCTCCTCATCAACTTAAAGTCCATCCAGCCTTCAAAGTCCAGCTTAGTGTCTTACCATCTCCATGTCTTTTTCAACATATTCTGCCTCCCCGCCAACCTATATTAATTTGCACTCCAACATCCTGTTACTGTGGCACAAACATAGCAAAGCTATTTGTGATATATTATCATCTATACATGTCTTATCCTCTCAAAAACTGTTCCTCTGAGGAAAGAAATCTGTTAGAATCTCCAAAGACATGCTACAGAAGGGTTACAGTGTCCCTTGATGGGCAGAGCAAGATCTCATTCTCCCCCTGGGTGTGGGGCTCTTTCCTCAGGAAGGAGCCTTGGGAGTATTATGGCAGAAAGAGTGGAGCTGAGCCCTGCGAGCTCAGGTAGCGCTTATGATTTATTTTTATTGATACCTGATGGGTACATAGGTACATTGCTTTCCTTAGTTCCCCTTTCATGCTTTCTAAAAATGAATCTTTCTATTAACTGTCAAAAGTCAGACACATTGGTAGGGTCCTTAGCTCCAGACACTATAAATGCCTGAATAAGTCAGATGACCATAGGTCAATGTATTCAAGTAAACTAAAGCATTTTTTCCAAAATTAATCTAGCTTTTTGCCCCAGTTATTCCAAATGGCCTTAATTCCCTTTTGCTTTGATGTCACATCAATGACATATTTTCAAAATTATGTCAACTCGTCTTTGACTAGAATGATTGTATAATTTGTGAACCCAACCAGGACAGTTTGAGAAAGTGAGGGGGCACTATTAAAAACTACTCCAAGCCAAATGGACTGTCCCTAGCACCCTGAGAATTATGTCACCCTCTATATTTCATAGTACTATTGGTTCGATCCTACTTATAACAGAAAGAAGAAAATAATGTTACTGAAAAGCCAAAACTGACAATAGGCTTTATCTTCTAAGGGAAACTGTATAAATCCTACCAGTGAAAAAAATAAATACACTGCTCACTTCCACTTATAAAGATGGGTGGGACAATAGAGATGGAGGCTCAAGACAGAGAGAGGAAACACTGAAACTTCAAAACCTCTTTCAGTTTCTTGCTGCAAAGCAGAGCAAATTATTGAATCCCTATATAATGAAAGTCAGCCCAGAGTTCTATTAGGAATGTATACCCAAGTTGCTCTGCTTTCTGAAGTGAGGGCAATTGAGAGGTGAGGGGTTTAGGAACTATGGAGACCAAGCAACCTATCAAAGAACTTTGAAGAAAAGGAAAGATTAATATTC